TCCTGAATAAACAATTAAGATCATTTCCACTTTGAACCTAAAACTAACCAATTTAGTAGTAAGAGTTTTCTTTGTAGCTTGTGAAAGTAACACCATGTACTTTGGTTTCAGGTAATAGGATAAAGAAGTGACAGACAGAAACTGTCTTCCTGATCTGAAAAAAGTAAGGTGTGAAAGACATAAACAATACTTGTGGAAATTCAAACATATGATCACATGCTAACCAAGTCTGACCATTTTAGTATTTCCCTTGTGAACTAGATTTTTATTGGACATAAATATAGCAAAAACAAGTACTTTTAATGTCAGTTTCCCTTTTTCTGAGAACAAGAAATAAGGCAATGTTGTCCTATAAGATGAACTAACTTAAAATGGTGTTTGCTAATTACCCTATCTTCTAAATATGGTCTCTAGAGTTTATTTGGTGTGGTTCATCTTTAGGAAGCTGCAGTGTAACAAAGAAGAATGATTATATGGGAACCACAATTTTACTCTTCTCTATGGGAAAAGTCCCTTGAAACAACGGAAAACATTTCTAAACTGTCTTAGAAGAGTTTTTTCTTTCTTTTTTAAAAAGCTCAGTTTAGGACAGTATAATAGAAATTAAAGCATAAGTGTTATTTACAGTTATTTCTCCAGTGATAATACATCACAACAGTATTTAATGATTAATAATACAATTGACATAATTCCCTAAAACCCTTGGGAATTTTATATGATAAAAGTAGAGAGAGTTTTTTTTCCCCCCTCTTTAAGGCTTGGAATATATATGTAAAGACTTGTCCAAAGCCCCATAGCTAGTTAGTGGCAGAACTAGTGCTAAGTACCATGACCCTTGACTTCAGCTCTGTCTCTGTTGCATTTCTTTTTCTTTTCTTTTCTCATTACATCATCCTGTCTTTTTTTTATAGTGGAGAAATATTCTCTGAATACCATAAAAATAAATGGAAAAGAATAAATTGAATTCCAACTTACAGCTGTGGTTTTTGCCTATAGTAGTTGTAGATGTGTAACTCTGAGCACAGCAGTTCCAAGTCTGGGCTCTGGAGTCAGCGCTCCTGGTAAGGGTGGTTCTGCCCCTCACCATAGTGACAGCTTGTGTCTCACTTGTGTCTCTGGAATATGGGGAATGTAGGAGAACCTACTTTTGGGGGTTGTCTTGAGAATTCAGTGAAGTATAGTTTTAAGTGTTAAAATATTGTTGATGAGTATAGTAGTGCCCACCAGATGTTAGATATTATTATTTTTAATAATTAATATTATCAAGGGAGATTTGATGTTTACTATACCAAATTAAAATACTAAAAAATTTGGGAATCAATGGAGAAGAACATCTCAGTGCTCTAATGATCTATCTTGTAAATGTTATTAGCTCATGGTAAGGGCCATTTAATGAGAAACAGAAGAATAATGTTTTCACTTAGTAGAAACCTCATGAGCCAGGTTCGTCAGCAGCTTAGTTACTAAGTTAAATGACCTTGCTTTGAAACATAGGCTTTATGTTAAAACTCATTTATTAAATAGACTAAGAAGTCTTTTAAAATGTGGCATTAGTTCTTAGAAAATAATTATTGGGATAAATTCTCGGTAAATGAATTTAAACCATGGATTAAATATTCACTAAGTATATAAGTTAAAAGTTATGAGGGTCTTGGAAATTTGTGTAGGAAATCTGCAAAAGCTAAGCACCATTAAAATGGTTCATTTTTGCTTCTGGTTATCAAAGTTGACAGTTTCTTTTTTTCTTATCTAATTAAACACATACATAGAAGTAGAGACTTGTAGAGTTGGAAAAAAATCTTTGGGATCATGTAGTCTTATGCTTTCCAAGTTTTACACATGACCTGTTGCACAGATACAATCCTGTACAGAAACCCACATGAGCTCTAGTTGTTGCAAGGGAGGGAACTAGAGCTGGGCTCACCACTTCTGCAGGACTCAAGTCTCTACAGAGTGAAAGGAACACATCTTTCCTTGTACAGGTGAGGAAGCTGACTCCATAGGCAATGGTACCTTTCTCAAAGACCTACAGACAGACAGTGGAAGGGCAAGTTATTGAATAAATATACTCTGCTACATCTGCCCTACTGATTGCATCCTATACCCTTCCTAGTAAAGAATCTATCATTTAGAGCCCTTAACAATCCAGATTTTTTTGATCTTCCCTATTTCTACTAGGAAGAGGTATTTCACTTGATAATTTGTATCAAGGGTACCTGATTCTCTTTTGATGCCTGTATCATGATACATATATTTATGCTTGCTTCTACATGAAAGCTCAACTCAGTCTCTAAGCATTCTATGTAATGAAGTTTATATCGAAGACTTCAGTTTCCACGATGGGGTCACTTGGACAAACTCCTCTGCAGCAAACAATTATAAAAGCAGTGTAGAACATGTACGACAATAAATTGAAGGCACTGGAGAACAACCAACATAATTAGGGCATAATTATGATCTTTGAGAGAAGAGAAGCACAAAAGTGAGTCTGTGTTTTCTCTGGCTGCTTCTGTGAGGGCATTTTCTAAATCACAGCACAGGTGAATGAAGTATAGGAAAAAGATGGTATTCTGTTATTGGAAGTCAAGGTTGGTGCCACCTAATTGGGTCCCTGCTGCAAGAAACTTGAGGACATCCTCCTCCTTCATTTGCAGGATATCAAGGGCTCCAGACATTGTGAAAGTTTCCCTTTAAGTTACAATGGACTAAGGAGGAAGAAGTCAGAATTTTGGACAACAAATGTGGCTAGGACTAGAAGAGCAAAATTCTAGAGATGTGGAAACCGCAGAAAAGTAGCCCAAATATCTGCATATAAATGAGCAAGACCCCAAAAAACCCAGAATAAAAGAACATTTGGACAGCCAAATAGCTTATCTGAGATATTTTGCAGCCTCATGGTGCTGGGGGAGACATAGAAATTCAAGTGCTTCCAAGGTAGTAGGGGCATTGGTAAACAACCTCAGGCTTTCAGTGGAGACCCTGTCTGCCAAGCCCTAGGAGTAGGAACCATACTCTAGTAGGAAAACTGAAATAGACAAGCCCTAACCGAGCTTTAAATCAGGCTTAGACAGGATCAAGGTGATCCACCAGTAATTGTTTTCTGACTTCCAGAAGACAATTTAATCCTCTTTGAAGGAAGATATTCAGAGTCTCAATTTTTCCATCCATAATATTCAGCATTCAATAAAAAATTGCAAGGCATGCTATAAAACAGGAAGAAATGACTGAAACCCAAGAGAAAAAAAGACACTAAACCCACAGAAGATTTAGCTATTGCAATTATTAAATAGGGATTTAAAAATAACTATGATTAAAAAAACAGAACTATGATTAACATAATCAAGAAAATAGAGAAAATGATAGACAAAATGGTTGAAAAGATGGAGAACTTCTACACAGAATTGGAATCTATATAAAATAATCAAATGAATACTCTAGAATTGAAAAATACATTATTTAGACCAGGCGCAGTGCCTCATGCTTATAATACTGGCACTTTGGGAGGCCAAGGCAGGTGAATCACCTGAGACCAGCCTGGCCAACATGGTGAAACCCCATCTCTACTAATAATACAAAAATTAGCCGGGCTTGGTGACACACACCTGTAATCCCAGCTACTAGGGAGGTTGAGGCAGGAGAATCACTTGAACCCGGGAGGCAGAGGTTGCAGTGAGCCAAGATTGTGCCATTGCACTGCAGCCTGGGTGACAGAGTGAGACTCCATCTCAAAAAAAAAAAAGAAAAAAAAAGAAAAAAGAAAAGAAATATACATTATTCCATGTTAAGAATTTTGGATGTAAAAACGGAATAGAGCATAAAAGACATGTGGTGTACAAACTGACTTCTGGACTCACTCTTCTTTGGAAACAGACTTCGTATTTAGCTCTAAGAATCACTGTCTTTCTAGACCATTTGGTGCTATTAGAAACATACTTAGATAAATCTAATTCCTGTGCTGATTCAAAGCCTTTAAGTTTTCAAGGGAACATAAAGAATTGAGAGATATTGTTTTTAAACTTAATTTTAATGGAAAAATAGGTTTCCTCTAAATACTATCTTTACCAAAATTGGACAACTTCTAAAAAGAGAATTGAGTACAAGATTCTGAGGAGTAGACATAATCTAGATCCAACTTTCTTCCTAAAGGAAACAGTACAGTGTCAAAATAATATATTAATATTCTCATGTTTTAGTTCTTTTTAAATTCTTAATCTGGTTTTCATTTTCATTTTAAAACTATTTGGAGCAGTGACAGATCCCGGCCCCCTTCCCCTTCTCCTGTCGTTTTTGCTTTCCATCTGTTGATGTTTGTGCTTCTTGCCATTTTACTATATTAAAAGTCTGTAGGGTTTTCCATTGATGGAAAGTTAGGCAGAAATGAGAATTTTTGATCCCAGTCTTTGTAATTTGCAGCATGAGAACCGTTTCACCAGCCTCAGTGCATCTTTTATAGGCCTTAAACTATTTCTCTTGAGACTTTTGTGTGTTGTAGACCCATCTTGACACTGCTGGTGAAAAATAATATATTCTGATAGTAGCCTTATTAGTTCCTTAGGAAATCAATGAAAATATGGCATAATGCATATTTATGATGACTGTAACAAAAGGATGTTTTATCTCTTTCCTATTCACTGAATTTCAACTAAAACTTAACCACAAGCCAATGTTTGGTATCATAAAACACTGGCTATTTTACATATCCAGAAATGGCTTCTGACCTAGAAATAACGTTATATTCCCTCCGTCCCTCTACTCTTTTTACCTTATAACCTCCCCCTAAATCCTTGATGGTAAAGATATATCCCCTGGACACCAATAACACATGAATCTAATTGCAAATAACTGATTACTCTACAACTCTGCCTGATACACTATAATAACCCAGCTGCTGAGGGCATGAAAAGATTAGGTTTGGCATCCCTGAGGCACAAGCAAGCTGCAGGAGATACTTATTAGAGTATTAAAGCACCTTAAAGATCTTTTCTTGATTATAAAATGCTTTCATAAATGTTATGTCATTCGACTTTCTCAAAAATTGTGTGAGATAGGAAGAGTGACTATTATTATCCCCATTTCACAATGAGGAGACTAAGGTAGAGGAAGAAGTTAATCATCCAAGTAACAACTAGTAAGCATTAAAGCTAGGATTCATACCATGGTAACATGTGGGTGTTAGCATGTTTACTTGGGTGACCTGGTAGGGAGATGCAGGAAGCATCATTATTGAAATGTGTTCATAGTCTACACTAAGCCTATGTCTACCTCAAACCCATAATAGTTATGGACTGTATTTTGGAATACTATTTTAATGCTAGTGAAATAGAGATGTTCTACATTGCAGAAGTATTTTATAATGGGAATCCCCAAATTATTCTGGAAAATGGTAAAAGACAAAAGTTTCAGAAATTTGTGCTGACCTTAAAAAAGAGGAAATGAATACCTATAGATGGCTTGAGAAATTCAGAAAAATATTTCTGGACCGTGCAATAGTGGTTTGTCCAGAAAAGGACCTTGGAGTTCCAGAGTCATTTAAACCATCTAGCAGCATGATGCCAAGCACAATAGAAGCATGTTTGCTCTGAGTGCTCAGTATCAAGGTCATGCTGGTAGACAGTTCTCCACGGGCTTCTCACATTTCTACATGTCTTATGAGCAGAGGAACTAACTGACGTTATTTCATTCTATTATTTAAAAAATGTTTGTACAGTGAACAGCCTTGGAAGATGGAGATACTGCCTCTCTCAGAGCAAAGGGCAGGCATGCTTGCTGTTCACCAAAAAAAATTCAGGTTCTGTAAGCTTGGAGTCTCTCTCCTATAATGCTTACTTTGTGTGCAGATAGTCAAACTGGTGCAAGAAACTGCTGAAAATGCTAGCTACTGCTGTTGCTAAGAGTAATAAAGTCAATGGTCTTTCTCCCAGGGATGTCACATCTTTTTCCAGCACCCAAGAAAGCATGTTAATTATTAGCTGGCGAGTAGTTTTTGCAGGCAGTTCCTGACAGATCACAGGGCATCTCTCCACCCCATGTATAGTTTAATGTAAACAAAAACAAAAATAAAACCCATAAAACATTTAGAGTCCATGCATATGAAGTTAGTTCTGAGTCTTTTGCATTTCTAGCAGGATAATTCTGACATTTTACAATGAGCCCTTGTCTCTGGAAACTAGATAGGTAGTTGGTGAAAAACAGTCTGCAAGTAATGATACTGCAGACAATTTGGGAGCCTTCAGATAATTCATTACGGATCCTCCACTGCTGACTTCAGTTCCTTTAAGATCAGCCATGAGCAACCTGGGATATAAGTATTTAGTATGAGGAGCTGCTTTTACTTTTCCATTTTGTTACTCAGCATATTTGGAAATTATTCTCACTGTTCCTCCCTAGGCTGAATTTTTATTCCTAACCCAGTGCTAAACTTCCATTGCTACATAGACTTCCAGTCATGTTTGGATGATGATTCTTGTCAATGTAACCATGTTGTCTCTTAATTTTTTATTATAATGAACCAGTAGCACAACAAATCATCTCTGATGAGATTTATGCTCATTGAAGAGTGGGAATTTTTCTTTTGCATTGTAGATTAACTAAGGCCTAATTATGGGTAAGAAAGTTCTCCAAGTTTAGGCTGTCTTCTTGTTAAAGGTTAAGGTGATTTTCTAAGACTTTACATAGCCCAGTGATTCTGATGTTATTTCTGTACCTGACCCCATCAGACTTTTTATTTAGGTTTACTCTTCTCAAGTTTTGTAGTTTAGTTTTGTTCTGTATATATGTGCTTCACTTATTCTTCTGCTCTCTTCCTTCTGAGCTCCCAGTAAGTCACCCATTTGAATTGGGGAGCTGGTCAACCTTGATACCTTGCAGAAGCTCAAAAAGTATTCTTAGAAAGATTGAACGAAGGTATCAGGTATTTCGGGGGGCCTTTCACCAGAGCTCTTCAATCTAACTAGAATCTTGAATGTCCAATAAAAATCCATGGGAACAGGAATAATAGTGCTGCAAGTAATATGATATTAATCATAATACCAACGTTGGCTGGGTGCTTACTATATGCCAGGTACTGTGCCAAGTGCTTTGAATGTACTGCCTCATATAATCCTTGCAAAATTACTGTGTGATTATCAACATTATTGGATAAATAAAGGGACACAGAGAAGTTATGTAATTTTCTCAAAGTCACTCAGTGACAGAACTGAGTTCCCACCACCTTCTAAGAGCCAGGGGAATCTGCTGAACATATTAGGTGATTAAGAAAGAACAGGGAAGTTTTTATTTTGGGTAAATTTGAATTAAAGCAACCATAAAAATGTCTTCTTTATTTCAGATTACAGATGGGTCATCAATAATACACTTGAAACCTTAGAATCAGAGCTCACCTGGACAAACCTAACTTTTGTTGAAAGCAAGCCATCGATATTTTGGTTCAACTCCTCATTCACAAATCTCCATCTCAGAGCAATTGCATGATTAATGAATTAATTCTTTCATTTATTCTACAAATATTTATCAAAACCTGATGGTGAATAGGACTGTCTCTAAAAATTCCTTCCTTTTAGGGGAAGGAGAGCATTCCTCATGGCCCTGCCTGAGGCCAGATGTTTACCCCAGGGATTGGGAAAAGACAGAAGAGCCAGGAAGGATGCAAGGTACAGGCTGAGGAGCCTTTCACTGATGTAAGTTACGTCTGTGTCTGTACCTTTCTCTGCTGCTGCCTTTGTGCTCAGTATGCTACCTGACACACGGTGGTTGCTTCATAAAAAGGGTCAAATAAAATGAAAGCAACAGCTCTCTTGGATGTTCTTGTTTTTCCTTAACCATTCTGGAATTTTACTTATTAAGCTGTTGACTGGAATAATTGGATATATTGGCTTATTATAAAGTTTCCTATATTAGATTAAACATGATTAAGTTTCAGTTTCTGCTCTTTATTTTTCTTTAACCAAAAATAACCTCATTGTTCCCCAGATCTCATCATTTTTAGTATTGTGTTTTGGACTCAGAACTGTATTTCTCTATTTCACTCCCAAGGTACAGAGAGCAATGCGATAGACAGACTACTTACATGTGAGTAAATATCACGTTGAGCCATATGAAATTGATATTTGAAAGTTTTTAACCTTTAGCCAAAACATTCTTTAGGTTAAATTTAATGGATTGTTGTGTGTGTGTGTGTGTGGTTTCTTTTTTTTTTTTTGAGATGGAGTCTTGCTCTGTCGTCCAGGCTGTAGTGCAGTGGCACGATCTCTGCTCACTGCAACCTCTGCCTCGCAGTTCAAGTGGTTGTCCTGCCTCAATCTCCCGAGTAGCTTGGACTACAGGTGCCCACTCCCATGCCCGGCTAATTTTTGTATTTTTAGTAGAGATGGGGTTTCACCATATTGGCCAGGTTGGTCTTGAACTCCTGACCTTGTGAAACACCTGTCTCGGCCTCCCAAAGTGCTAGGATTACAGGTGTGAACCACCACACCTGGCCGTGTGTGTGTTTTAATAAAACATCTACAATGTCTACAAAAGAACACACATTTCTCTCTTTTTTAGAGACAGAGTCTTGCTCTATTGCCCAGCTAGAGTGCAGTGGTGCAATCATAGATCACTGCAGCCTTGACCTCCTGAGCACAAGTGATACTCTTGCCTCAGCCTCTTGAGTGGCTAGGACTACAGGCATGCACCACTATGCCCGGCCTATTTTTTATTTTTATTTTTTGTAGAGATGGAGTCTTGCTATGTTGCCCAGGCTGGTCTCATATTCCTGGTCTCAAGCAAAACTCCGACCTCAGCCTCCCAAAGTGCTGGGATTACAAGCACAGGCCACTGTGCCCAGCAGAATAAATATTTATCTACAAACATTTCCATGATACACTCCAGGATGGAGAATAATGTCTGACCATAATGAATGATATTTGTGTTTTTCCATTTCCTTATCAATTCCTTCCCATCTGGATGGTCTGCGTCATGAAACCTTGCTTTCCTAGCTCCAACTATAATGTGCATATGTGCTGGATAATTTATCTCATATTCTTTGAGGCCTTGTGAGTATTATTAGAATGAGAGGAAACCATGGGTTCTTGTTTCATTGCTTTAACAAAAATTTACTGAGTGCCAACAAAAACAATATCTACCTCATGAACAAAAACCAAAAGACACAGTCCTTGCCTCCTTGGAATGTATTTGTTATGGTTTGTATTGTTTATATCAAATAGCTTTGTAAGTACTGCCATGCATCACTTTAACAAGGGAGATACATTCCGAGAAATGAATCATTAGGCAATCTTGTCTTTGTGAGAACATCATAATGTTTTTACCCCGATGCTATAGCCAACTACACACCTAAGCTACATGGTATAGCCTTTTGCTCTGAGGTGGTAAACCTGTACAGCATGTTACTGAATACTGCAGGCAATTTTAACACAATGATAAGTATCTGTGTATCTAAATATAAAAAAGTACAGTAAAAATACAGTATAAAATCTTCATTATGAGATCACTGTCACATATATGCTTTATCACTGATCAAAACACACTCATATGACACATGGTTGTAAGTGTAAAATGATAGCTGTGATGGGTGCTTTGAAGGAGAATGCATAATATTATATTTATGAATATTAGTGGGAATTGATCAAATACAGGAGGTCAGGGAGCGTCTTTCTGAGGTAGTCAAGACTGAGCCAAGGTTAAGTGCAGCTGTTAACCTGATGAAAGGGGACGAGCAGTAGGGATATGAAGCAATGCAATTCAGTTCAGTTCAGTGAACATTTATAGAGCACCTACCATGTGCCAGACACTATGCTTAGATGCTGGGAAATAAAATATGAATAAGACATGGCCTTTGCCCCCAGCAAATAACTCACTATACAAAGGTTTCCTTGTCATTTAATTTATAAATTAAGAGAGCCACTCTTTGTGTATTTATTTTGCTTCTGTGTAGTTTGAGTTTTCTTTTCTCAGGATTGCCTCACTGAAGCAAGTCCTAAATCAAATACAATCTTTGTCATGGAGTCAAAGTTTCACAAACACGCATCGTTTGTGAGATTAAAGTCCAATAACGCTATTCTAGGCTTTACCATCAACTGAATGTGGCCCCACAGCATAGCTCAAGCCTGTTTCAGTCTGCCAACAGTGTGGCTCCAGGAAGGAAGCCTGACTGCTGCCGAACAAGAAATGCATTATGACTTTATCTTTTTTCTGAACCATTAGCTGAAATTACTAAATTATTAACCCAGCCATATAAACAAATTATAAGCATAGTGTATGTGCATTTGATTAATCTGTTTTTCTTGTCAAGTATTATATAGACCTGGGATACAAACTCGTGGGGATACTTAAGTAACACACGGATGAAGTATAAAGGGTGTAAACCAAGGGGGAGGCAGGAAGTGTGGCAAAATGGAGATTGCCAAAACAGCAACAGAAAAACAGAGAAACCAAACAATGCACACCACAGCCAGATTTTTGCCCCAGCCCATAGGGCAGCTCTCCATTCTCTGCACCCACCTAAAGCACATTCTAGAACTGTCATTATTACTCCCACCTTTGGTCTAGGCCCCTTCGTTATCTTTCTGATTCTGGCATTCTTTGCTTATTCTAGGATTTACTGACATTTGGCCTGCTTGGCTTCATGCTGTGATCTTGGTGGAGAACTTGCCTTGGGCTAGTTCTGAGCTACAAATCCTCCACTCCTCTGCTTTGCCTTGTCTGGACCTCCGCACCACCATGCCTCAGATCCCTAAGACCCTGCTCTGATCACCAGGCTGCTTGGCCTGCTCCTTTTGCTGGGACGGACAGACCTCTAGGAAGGGGTGGATGAGAAGGCCAGTGACACCTAGATCTGTGTCTCTGTCCTGCTGTCTCATTTCACTATTTTCTAAGTTTTCACTCTTCTTTGCAGGGACTTGCAAATTTCCTTTATAGGTTAGTATGAATATATCATACTGTTAAGCCTCTTGTCCTGGCCTCAAATCCTAAACACTTTTTTCTTTTTCTCATGTGTTTGTTTGTTTATTTATTTATTTTGGGAAGGGTATTTTATCTTTGGGACTTATTTATTATGGGACAAGTAATAATTCCAGGTTATAGAAGAGGGCATTTCCATATTGCAACATTAAGGGACTTGTCCATCCTCATTTATTATGGAGTAATCAAGTAAAAAAGAACAATAACTCCCAAATTTGGTTTCTTATTTGCGTATGCACAATCAATCTTGTACAGATCCTATGAATATATATACACACATATATATACACACATATATATACACACACACACACATATATATATATATTTTATTTTGAGACGGAATCTTCCTCTGTCCCCCAGGCTGGAGTGCAGTGGCACGATCTCGGCTCACTGCACGCTCTGCTTCCCGGGTTCATGCCATTCTCCTGCCTCAGCCTCCTTGAGTAGCTAGGACTACAGGCGCCCGCCACTGAGCCCGGCTAATTTTTTGTATTTTTAGTAGAGATGGGGTTTCACCACGGTCTCGATCTCCTGACCTTGTGATCCACCCGCCTCGGCCTCCCAAAGTGCTGGGATTACAGGCGTGAGCCACCGTGCCTGGCCCCTATGAATATATTAACCTAATGGTTGCGCATTAGTGGTTTAAGTTAATAAAGTAAGAAGTTTAAAGACTCTAAGAAATTAAGTTAGAGGAAGCATTAAGTGGCCTTTTGGAAGATGCAAAATATACCCCTATATTCACAATCTATAAAACTTTTGAGACTTAACTTTTGAGAATTCAGCGTGTTTTGTTTTTAACAGTTCCACACTCTTCCCATGAAGCGTTATTATTATCAACCCTGTTGATGGTAGCTGTGATTTTTGCCTAAAATCTCTAAATAAAAGTGATGAACAGCATTATCAGACTCCCTAGCAAGTTGTTTGTGCATCTCATTTCCAGATTATTCTGTAAAAAGGAATTTACATGAATACCATTTTATCCATTAAGTAACTGTTTCTGCTTAATTTTTTTCTGGAAATATTTTAAACAATATACTCCAGTAATGAGCTAGCCTAAGATACTCTTGTGTTATTTTGGAGCCAGTTGCTAGTGACTCATAGCACACTGGGCGTCCAAGCTATGGTTAACTGGTGGTCAAGTTAGGAAATTTCGTTCCCATTAACTCTCTTTCTTAGCCCAGGACATCTCTCCACTCAACTTTTATCCTTTTGATTCATCACACTCATAGTCTCTGCTTGGTGTTTTCAGACCAAAAGTAGAAGCAATGACATGCCATAAGAAGTATTGTTTCTGTTGCATTTCCAGCTTAGCCAAAACAGGAAATACAGGGCATTTTGTGGGAAAGCCCAATTTTGTAATATTTCCAACCCAAGAGGTTTGGATCAACTTTGGTTGAATGTCTGAACTTTTGGCTTCTTACTTACAGTAAACCTTCTAACTTCAGAATTTTAGCACAATTCTTACTTATAAGGCGATGTCAGCCATATTTAGATTATGCTGACACATCAGTCAGTTTACCTTTGAACCATTTTTACTTAATATTAGGATGAACTTGTAGCCAAAAAAAGATGCATGAAATTGTGTGCATCATAAGAAAGAATGCCTAATAGTGGAGAGGGCCATGATTTTCATAGTTTCAGGACTTTACTTATTTATTGCATAGTTTATTTAAAAAGGGTCTTGTCTTAGTCCATTTTCTGTTGGTTATTACAGAGTATCTGAAACAGGGTAATTTAAAAAGAAAAGGAATTTATTTCTTACAGTTGTGAAGGCTAAGAAATCTAAGGTCAAGGGACTACATCTGGTTAGGTTCTTTTTGCTGCAGAATCCTGAGATGGCACAGGGCACCATGGCAAAGGGCCTGAGTGTGCTAGCTCAAATATCGCTTCTTCTAATAAAGGCACGGTCCCACTCCCATGGTAACTCATTAGTCTACTAACCCATTAACCCATTAGTCTATGACTCCCTTCATGAGAGCTCTGCCAATCTCTTATTAAAGGGCCCACCATTAATACTGCCACATTGGGAATTAGGTTTCAACATGAGTTTCAGAAGGGACAAACATTCAAACCATAGCAAGTCTATTATCATAAGGCTGTACTCATTAAATGAACGTTTGATGAAGAGATTTACTGTCTAAAATAAATCCAGAAGCAGAAATTCTGGGTTAGGTAAAAGAGCTTGATGACTCTTTTGGTAGGGAATATCAGGACCTACCAAAAAAATAAATTTAAATTACATTGCATCCTAAAAATTATTCAGCTGACTTTTAGTAATCCTGGGAGACAGAGGGAATCTAAACTTAGAACTTCGTGTAGACTATATATATTTCTTAGATTCGTCAAGGTAAAAATCTAATTGACTGCATTAGCCAGAGAAGCCAGATAAGGTAACATTAACTGTATTCCAGGCAAGTAGAGTAGCCTTGGACTATTTGTTGTGTTATTTTCCAACATCAGTGAGGAACTTAATCTTTTTGTTCTCTCCCGTATTTTGTGATGATATAGATTGGCCATAGTGAACTGAATGGGTTACACTATTTCATTTATTCTCTTGTGATAGCTATCTAATGTGATCCTGCATACCATTTATGGTTTTCAAACATGATAAGTGGTGAAATAACTATAATTCCAGATAGAGTTGTTAAATAAATTGAGTTTACTTGCCTTCATAAGCTATGACTTGTTACATTTATTTTTTATCTTTGATTTTTGTATTAAAGGAAGTTATCTGAAGGAAGGAAGATAAAAAAAGTAATATCAAGGAGTATAAAATATAGAGATAAAGGAAGTATATTAAGAGGAATCAGAGCCTTTAAGCTTTAACCCTTATTGGAAAAGATATTTAACTCAGTATTTGTTGAAATTCTGAAATGACTGAATAGTTCTTTTTATTCCACGTCTTCGTGCTTCCATTTAGCTGGAATGTACTGGGCAGGATTAGAAATGGCTGTTCTTTCAGTTTTTTATGGTTTAGACTAAAAGCAAAGTGCCAGAAATCTTAAAAGTAATCTCTCTTTATGAGATTCCAAGCCCTTGTGCAGACTCAGAAAGTGAAGACAACATCTAGATTTCTTTTTTAAGAGTTTATCAAACTGTATATAACATGTTAACTTTTAAAATGTTGCTTATAGTTAGTTGACGGTATAACTTTCCATTCCAAGTCAACCCGCCCACCCCAAAAACTTTCTCCAAAGCAAGAAAAACAAAGTAACAGACAGCTAATACCTGTTAAAATGCTGCACAAGCCCAACATTTTTTCTATTGTGTCTGAATCACATGATATCCATTTTCCTCCTTAATTCTTGGAATAATATCACTCACAATTTAAGATCTTACATTTCAGATTTTTTAGCTCGAGCTGAATAATACTTGATGAGTTAGGAAGTCCTAACAGTGAATTTATAAAGAAAATGTTGACAGAGCTTGGATTCTCACAGTGCTGGTGGGTACCACGATTATAATAATGATTTCCTTTAAAACTCTTCCATTAAATGTTCCAAACAGTGGAATTTGTAGTTTTTCCTTTGGTCCTAAGATCAAAAACATGAACAATTTTACATTTCTAAGGTTGGATAGCATGTATGTTTCCACAATTTCTGTGGGAAAGCAATCCATCCTTTCTCAGTTTTATTGAAAACCACCATCTTGGCTCCAAATCTGTGCCATTACAAGCACTTTCATTATGTCTAGTATCTCCTTTTAGGAAGCAGGAGTCTGTCTACTGCCTTTTTTCTCTTACTGGTTTTCAAAGACTACACACAGTAAATGAAAAGTAGTTTTAAAAAACTGAAGATAGGGGCCGGGCATGGTGGCTCACGTCTGTAATCCCAGCTCTTTGGAAGGCTGAGTTGGGCGGATCACAAGGTCTGGAGTTTGAGACCAGCCTGAGCAACATGGTGAAACCCTGTCTCTACTAAAAACACAAAAATTAGTCAGATGTGGTGGTGCGTGCCTGTAATCCTAGCTACTCAGGAGGCTGAGGCAAGAGAATCGCTTGAATCTGGGAGACCGAGCTTGCAGTGAGCTGAGCTCATGCCACTGCACTCCAGGCTGGGCGACAAAACAATACTCTCTCAAAAACAAAACAAAACAAAACAAAACAAAACAAAAACAAAACAAAGCAAAACAAATAAAACACTGAAGACAGGAAAGCATATTGGTTAAAAGAATAAACTTTGAGTGGGGTGTGGTGGCTCACACCTGTAATCCCAGCACTTTGGGAGGCCGAGGCGGGCAGATCACGAGGTCAGGAGATCGAGACCATCGTGGCTAACAAGGGGAAACCTGTCTCTACTTAAAAAAAAAAATACAAAAAATTAGCCAGTCATGGTGGTGGGCACCTGTAGCCCCAGCTACTCGGGAGGCTGAGGCAGGAGAATGGTGTGAACCTGGGAGGCTGAGCTTGCAGTGAGCGGAGATTGTGTGCCACTGTACTCCAGCCTGGGCAACAGAGCGAGACTCCATCTCAAAAAGAAAAAAAAAAGAATAAACCTTGAAGATAGATTGAGTTCAAATTCTTACTCTGTCATTTAGTAGCTGGGTGACTTAGGCAAGTCATGTAACTCAGCCTCCATTCTGTCTCAACTGTAAAATTTGGGTACTAATAGTATCTGACTTGGTGGGCTTTTTCTAAGGAGTAAATAAAGTAACAAATGTAGAGTACTAAACCAGGGTAAAATTTCAACAATTAGTGCCACCATCTGATGTTTTATTTATTTATTTATTTATTTATTTATTTATTTATTATTATTTTACAGATAGGGGGTGTCTAGCTCTGTTCCCCAGGCTGGACTTGAACTCCTGGGTTTAAGGGATCCTCTTGCCTTAGCCTGGATGTTTTATTTATTTTTATCAGGCAATTTGGAAATATATTCTAGTAGCAATTATCTAAGATAATTTTATCTTGCAACAATCATGTTTTAGTGTTTCTATTTTAAAATAAAATTAAAGCTGATTTATTCACTGGACAAATCTATTATGTGACTATTATGTGCCAGTTGACTAACACAGCTTCTTTCCCCAAGAAGCTCATAGCTTAGTTGCTTGTTTTTATGCTTTGAGAATTATCCTGATAGAAAAAAAAAGAAGTCATTTTAAAGGGTAGCAGAATGTGCACAAATTTTTGCTCTATTTTAGAATATGATTTAAGGATGTGAAATACCATTATTTCTACTTGTCATGTAGATTATAAAATTTAAGTTGCAGAGAAAGGTTCATTATGATTTAAATAACCCAGGACCTTAATACAGGTGGATAACATCCTACGTTAATAACCAACTGT